AGTGTTGGACAACTATATTCACGACAAGACGCAAGCGTCTATTTTCACTTGCATTTACATTTACTAAATTCACATTACTATAAAAGAACAAAATCAAACGAACAAATAATCGATATTAAATCACTCACAATCACATTCACACGTCAAAATCGGTCGAAACGAGTGGGAGAAACAAATGAAAATCGCAAATACGACTTGCGCACGCGACCCGACCACCTTCATCGTGAAGTGACATTTAATCTAAAGAAAAGTGTTCTTTCTCTAGCCGATACTTCACCTATCTCAATTAATCATTGTGTCTTTAGTAATAGTAAAGCTGAGTACTCACATGTTTAATTGAACAGGAAATGCAATTGAGTAACGCATTGTATTTGAGTCATGATACAAATGAATTTTCAGTAGTTCTTACCTGCCTAGAATGTTTATTAGACTTATAGCATTATTATTAGACAACTCTACTGGAGGAACTGGAGGAAGAACCTAGAAATGGAGGATTCGGCGTACACTCCTCAAATTATTCGCTTGGGGATGGGGAGGCTTCTTTGACTTAGGGCTGGTTCCTGATTAGTGAGGCGGTAACCGTGCGGTTATACTCGTAATTTGATGCAAACGTACGAGAAATGCTCACCAAGCGCGCAATTATCACTGTGTCTGAACCAGACCTCATGATAAGTATAAAGCTAGTGATTCACCGGTAAGTATAAAGCTAGTGATTCACCGGTAAGTATAAAGCTAGTGATTCACCAGCGTTGCCACGGTAGGAGGAATAGCCTCTTTAATTTACTAGAGGGAAATGGAGGATTTGGTCTACACTCCCTACGCTAAACAGACGGGTCGGGAATGCTTCATTGACGTAGGATAATAGGCAGTGAGATCTACCATCAGAGATACTCCAGAGTGAGCCATAGCCTAAGCCGGTGCTGTGGACGAGTGTCCATTTTAGAACAATGATTCACCCACCCAGAGCTCACCGTTAATTTTTACTGAGTAGGCCCGCTCTTCTGATAAGGAGAATCCCGCAACATAACCTATTGGTCGTCCTCATCGACCTGTAGGTAAGTATACGCAAAGCATTTTTCGAAGAAAAAAAAGATAAAGCTAGTGACTCACCGGCGTTGACAAGACGGAGCAAGAGCGAGAGCGCGATTGACTGCGGCGGGCTGCGCGAGCGGCGCGCAATTTCAGTTATTTTAATTCTCCACTGCAGGAGGAAGAACCTCTCTAAGGCAAATGGAGGATTTAGTCTACACTTTCCACATTAGCTAGATAGGTTGGGGAGGCTTCGTGGACTTAGGCCTCGTTCAGACACGCACGATAACGATTTCACCGATTTCTGGCTGGTTCTCATTGGCGAGGCACTGAGGCGGTAACCATGCAAATATGAAATTTACCCTGCAACCACGGTAATCATCGCTATGCCTAAACCAGATAAAGCTAGTGACTCACCGGCGTTGACGAGACGGAGCAAGAGCGAGAGCGCGAGAGCAACGGCGGCGGGGTGCGCGAGCGGCGCGCAATTTTAGGTATTTAAGTCTCCACGGTAGAAATAACCACTCTAATTTACTAGAGGCAAATGGAGGATTTGGCCTACACTTCCTACGAAGGCTAAATGGGTTTAGGAAGCTTATTTTTTTCCTTAGTGTGAAAAAAAGGATGGAAAGCTAGAGACTCACCGGCGTTGACGAGACGGAGCAAGAGCGAGAGCGCGAGAGCAACGGCGGCGGGGTGCGCGAGCGGCGCGCGCCGCATGTCGCGCCCACCCAACCGCTCATGCCATGTCGCTTCTGGAACAAAGACACAAACAATTTAATGAAAAGTTACTTTAACTCATGTCCTGTAAGTGCCTATTCGCTCTCGCCTTCAAAATGCCCGGATTATAGTGTTCGGGAAAGACACGGGACTATTCCCACCTCTCGTTCCCACCACTGCAACTCCTGTGTAGCCAGGATCTACAGCTTGACCGCCACAAAAACCCAACCAATGAAGGTCAAGTTTGTCCCGGGGGAAAGTTAAAGTGTCATTGGACTCGCAACGAAAACAGCAGGCAACGAATTCCATTATAAAAGTTGCTGTCGGAGTGCGACACCAGCGAGTAGTCCAGCAGGCACTGCTCCAGCACGAAGCGGGCCAGCGTCAGTGAAAAACAATTTTATGATACTTTAACTATCCACACTGAAAAAAATTTTTGGTTACTGCTTACACAACAAAAGTGACCACCGAACACTTTGTTTATGAGGAAAAAATGTTGTGTAAATTAAACAAATAATTCTGTAGTGAGCTAGACTTAGTTTGCTTTATAGTGAATAATACTTAGTTCGGTGGTCACTTTTGTTGTGTAAGCAGTCACCAAACATTTTTTCAGTGCATGTGATTAAGGCAGATTAGAATAGGGATAGGGTTGTCATTTTTTTTTTATCTTTGGACAATCTCACACAGCGCCATCTAACTTTCTATTCATTTGTTCGGGTTTCCCCGGATTTGTCCTGTTGTGTTTGTTGCTTTGTGAAAATGTCATTCCTAGGCCGCTAAAAANTATAAGAATTTTCTGTCTTGCTCTTTCTGCTTGAACAAAACCTAGGAAACTTGTTTTGAAGCGTGGATCAAGAAAAGTAGCGACCAGAAATTTGTAATTTATATTAATCTGTCAATGCGTGCCGTGACGTGATTTACTCGCAATTGAATGAAAGAGTCAAATAGCCTCACACCGCCCGCGCGCGATTGAGACAGGGCAACCTGTCATATTATTATTTACGCGCTCGACTAGCATGTACTTTGTGCCGAATATTCGGCCGCCGAACATTCGGCGCTTCGGCCGACAGCGTTGCCGAATATTCGGTATTCGGTATTCGGCTAAATCACTATTCGTGGCAACTCTACTTTACATTTTCATTAGTGTTAAAAAGTGAAAAATAGGTTTAGGAAAAATAGGTGAAAATAGGAAATAGGTTTTGATAAGCCAACTGACGGACTAATTAAAACTCTTGCTTTTTTACCCAGGAAACATCCCTACTTTTTCCACAAAAATAGGTACGTTCTAAAGACTTCTAGTTGACCGATGATTTGGTCGACTTCTAAGGTATAATGGCACATCCATATTCCTGCGCACATCACACCGATTACGCACCTTATGTTTCTACCGATTACCAGTTCAACCAGACTATCGGCCGACAAAAAGTTTGTAGCCTGCGGGGTGTCTTAAGGTGGAAGAGTTCATTAATAAATCGTTAACTTGGGGCGTCGTTCTCTCACGCCTTATAAATACTTGACATGAGTGGTTCGCGCTTACGGGTAAACAGCTCTTAGTATGAATACTGGGTACCTACTAGATTGCTTAGAATTTTGTTTTATTTGAACGTTCCTTTCCACTTAAAAGTAACGCCTTTTACCTGACTGCGCCATGTGAGGTTTATGTGTTTTGCCATTGTCAATCAACTATAGTCAAAGGATTCTGAAACGTCAAGTAGCAATTATTGGACCAGTTTTCATAGTAGCGCCCCCATGTAAATGTTATAATTGTATGGGACACTGCAATGTTGTACAACGTAGCAAAAATCGGAACTAATAACCCAGTATTAATAATGTAGTAGCGCCCTCCTGTCAATGTCTTAGCTGAGACACTTCAGTGTTGGACAACTATATTCACGACAAGACGCAAGCTAAATTCACATCACTATAAAAAAAAAACAAAATCAAACGAACAAATAATCGATATTAAATCACTCACAATCACATTCACACGTCAAAATCGGTCGAAACGAGTGGGAGAAACAAATGAAAATCGCAAATACGACTTGCGCACGCGACCCGACCACGTTCATCGTGAAGTGACATTTAATCTAAAGAAAAGTGTTCTTTCTCTAGCCGATACTACACCTATCTCAATTAATCATTGTGTCTTTAGTAATAGTAAAGCTGAGTACTCACATGTTTAATTGAACAGGAAATGCAATTGAGTAACGGACGGTATTTGAGTCACGATGCAAATGAATTTTCAGTAGTTACTAGACAGGTCTAGATTGTTTGTTGCAGTATTATTATTAGACAACTCTACTGGAGGTCATTAAATCCTATTTCCCATATTCAATCCTTATCCAAATTAAACTGTGTGTGTATGGTTACACTTCAATATTGTTTAAATAGTCATACCTACTTATAAACCAAATGTAAATGTTAAAACATCGGGCACAGTACCGGGGCTAGTTTAGTGGGTAGGTATGCCTCATCTTTCCTGATGATTCCTGCAGATGACCCACTCCGTCCCCGCAGGAGAGGTATGCCATTTCATGTAAGTACTTTTCCTCCGAATAAATAAAAAAGGATATAAGGCTAGTGACTCACCGGCGTTGACGTGACGGAGCAAGAGCGAGAGCGCGATTGACTGCAGCGGGGTACGCGAGCGCCGCGCAATTTCAGGTATTTGAGGTTTCCGCTGCAGGAGAAAGAACCTCTCTATGGCAAATGGAGGATTCGGCCTATACTTTCCACATTAGCTAGACAGGTTGAGGAGGCTTCGTGGACTTAGGCCTTGTTCAGACACGCACGATAACGATTTCACCGATTTCTGGGTGGCTCTCATTGGTGAGGCACTGAGGCGGTAACCATGCAAATAATATATGAAATTTACCCTGCAACCACGTGATTATGGCTATGCCTAAACCAGATAAGTTTCCCTGCGTGATCGAATCAGAAATGAGGAGATCCGCAGGAGAACCAAAGTAACCGACATAGCTCGCAGAATTGCTAAAATCAAGTGGCAGTGGGCGGGGCACATAGCTCGCAGAGCCGATGGCCGTTGGGGCAGGAAAGCGACCACGGGCTGGAAGACGTAGCGTGGGCAGGCCTCCTACTAGGTGGACCGACGATCTGGTAAAGGTCGCGGGAAGAGCCTGGATGCGGGCAGCGCAGGACCGTTCATTGTGGAAAACCTTGGGGAAGGCCTTTGTCCAGCAGTGGACGTCATTTGGCTGAAACGACGAAACCAGATAAAGCTAGTGACTCACCGGCGTTGACGAGACGGAGCAAAAGCGAGAGCGCGAGAGCAACGGCGGCGGGGTGCGCGAGCGGCGCGCGCCGCATGTCGCGCCCACCCAACCGCTCATGCCATGTCGCTTCTGGAACAAAGACACAAGCAATTTAATGAAAAGTTACTTTAACTCATGTCCTGTAAGTGCATTTTTTTTATCCACAACGAAGAAGCTCTTGGCCTGTATCTCACCTGATGGTAAGTGACGATCAGGCCGAAGGTGGAAGCGAGCTTCACCCGGAATCCTCAACCACGGAGGAACTGGCTATCTTACCTCTAACTGCCGGAACACAACAATGCTGTTAACATTGTTGTTATGGCGACAGATTTAGGTAAGATGGTGGTAGCTAGCCAGGCGGACTTAGTACAAGCCCTACCACCAACCCACCTACATCCTATTCGTTCTCGCATTGAAAATGCCCGGATTATAGTGTTCAGGAAAGACAGCAGCAGGCAGCGAATTCCAGTCCCTAGCTGTTCGCATTATAAAAGATGCTGTCGGAGTACGACACCAGCGAGTAGTCCAGCAGGCACTGCTCCAGCACGAAGCGGGCCAGCGTCAGTGAAAAACAATTTTATGATATGTTACTTTAACTCCCCACACTGAAAAAAATGTTTGGTTACTGCTTACACAACAAAAGTGACCACCGAACACTTTGGTTATGAGGAACAAAATGTTGTGTAAATTAAACAAATAATTCTGTAGTGAGCTAGACTTAGTTTGCTTTATAGTGAATAATACTTAGTTCGGTGGTCACTTTTGTTGTGTAAGCAGTCACCAAACATTTTTTTCAATGCATGTGATTAAGGCAGATTAGATTAGGGATAGGGTTGTCATTTTTTTTTTATCTTTGGACAATCTCACACAGCGCCATCTAGCTTTCTATTCATTTGTTCGGGTTTCCCCGGATTTGTCCTGTTGTGTTTGTTGATTTGTGAAAATGTCATTTTTAGGCCGCTAAAATTTAGAGATGGTAGCCCTAAATATCGATAGGGCCAATAGGGCCACCCCCACTTTTCCAGAGGATATCGTAACACGCGACCAAGTGACAAATAAAATTATTATCAGATATCCATAACTCGTCTGCCTCTACTTAATTATGGATTGGTGGTGAAGTCGCAGTAAAATGATGATAAAATACTATGACAGGTTTTTGATTTCAAATTTCCTAAAATGTCACATTACTGAAACGATACGTCGTCTGACCCAGCAACTAGGTGGAAGGAATTAGGAATTTATATTTTAGCACATAAAATTTTCAGATGGTAAGGTACTTAACCGTGTCATACAATTTTGAATTAAATTAACAGCTGTCTAATTTGCATAAATTACATCAGCATTCACACGCATGAAGAATACATTAATTACCGCAAAGGCCCCATAACCCAATCACAATAATCGAATCATTCCGCTCACGCCTTTCCGTTCTTAACAAAACAACTCAATAATTTTGCCCGCCACTAATTGCGTTGGCGGAGTTCTGCCACTTGCGACTGCGAAACACCCTGCACCCATATCACGGAAACAAAAGACAGCCAATTAATTAGTAATGACGTTATTTTAGGCACATTTTTTATGAAAACACTTCTTTTTAGCCCTGAAAACCCTATTAGTATTAATCTAACTGTCAAATTGATAGCGTTAAAATTTCGTTAATTGAGTTGAAGAAAAAAATTTAATCTTAGTTTATTTTTGCTATTCCATGTGCATAGCTCATAAAAAGTACCTATGTCAATTGAATGGCGGTGTAAGTATATAAGTGGCTGAAAATTCTAGTGTGAAAATCGAAGCACATAAAAAACTTGAATGGATGAAAAGATATATAGGCAATGTTGTTAGCTGATCAGTTTATAACAACAATTTAAAGGATAGTGCCAGGGTCTGGACCAAGTGCTGCCCAGAATCAACCCATAGTGCATTTTGTTCCTCAGACCAATACTAATGTGTAAACCGAAGCGCACTGCAATATATCCCTGGAGTTAAGAGAAAAAAAGAGTTTTGTTTTGAAATATTTACATACAAAATATCATCGATATATACGTACTATGCATAAGATTTCGTGATTTTGGCATTAAATAACACTCGCTATGTTGAACTTAACCATACTGCATCCGTACACCTGACTTTAGTGCGACTTACATTCTTTTTAAGCGATCTAGCGCTGTTGCGATAGTTTGGTTAGTTGACAGAAATCATTATTTCCAAAATGAAGCAAGAAGTTTTAGTTCTCTATCCTTGCGAACAATCAATTTATTGGTGTATTACAATCGATTATTGAAGTTATTGTAAGCTAAAACTTCTTGCTCTATTTTGGAAATAATTAAATGATCAAACGAACNTTCCATACATGGATTGGCACTGTCCTTTATACGCACTTTTCATGATGTTTAAAGTGGATAGAATTAATTGAAACCATATTACATGATAACGTGACGGAATGCACAGCAAGATCGTTCACTTCGCACGTGGTTGCAGTTACGAATAACGTTAGTTATTGTTTGCGAAAGGAGATCCGTGCACGTCAGATTCAAAATTAGAAGGCTTCCGTTACGTCAACTGACGTAGTAAGAGCCACAGCACACAAATACCACGGTAATACTATCTATACAGTATTCCAACTCGGCCCTAATTTTGAAATAAATGTCAACAGTCGCGCGGTACGTCACAGTATGACAACATGCGATAGGGCTGCCCACCTACAGTACCTAGTTTAATTACATCTGCCTACTTAGAATTTCTATCTAGTTTTGTCATTGTATTTTTTTATTTAGTTAGACAAACAAAATACTTTGTGAATGGAATAGGTTAAAAATGTTTGTTTTGTGATTAGTAGATTTAGTAAAAACTACTTAAATAATTTTGAAACTTTAATAATCATAATGATCTGTTACTTTATTTTCGGGCGGGCGAAGTCGTGGGCAAAAGCTGGATTAATACAATATTATTATAATTTTCATTTTAAATCAAACTGACTGAAAATCACAATAAGACCAGTTTTTGACCAATTTGACCGTAAAAATGACGGTCAGTCAAATTCAATCAGTTTTGTCATTTTTAACACTTGGCCACCGACGTTCATTCGGCACATTTGCGACACCCCCGACTTTTGCATACCGAGCGCATACCGAGATTTGAATTTCGAAAAAAAGTTCTCGTTTCGTCTGTTTATATGAAGTTACAATACTGTATGATATTATTACCGTGCAAATATTACTTTTAACATCATCGATTTTGTGACTCTATCGATATGCAGCATGGCGATTTTGCGAATTCGGTATCGAAATCGCGCGTTTTAGCGACAGTTGTCACTGTGTCGTTCTTCCGAAAAGCGACTCAATCGTCGCGTTTGTGTATTAAGTTTCTGATGTGAAATGTGTGGTCGCTACATTCAGCTTCAAAAATCATGACATGACAGTTGACACCACCAATCAATTGACGTACTTTTTAAAACTGTCAAAACGAAACTCTCCTATAGATTTTGTATGGCACTACAAGCAAGTGACGTCACTATTTTATCAACTCAATTAAACTACTTTTTTCAATTACAATGCAAACAAAAATCGTAATTTACTGGTAATTTAAAATTAATTAAGTTTTTAAGACCAGAATGAAGGGTATTTTTAAAAAAGTTGTGGTTTCGAATTATTGGGGTATGGTGTCAAACTGTCTGTTTGTGAAAGGAGATCCGTGCACGTCAGATTCAAAATTAGAAGGCTTTCGTTACGTCAACTGACGTAGTTACACGCTTACGCAACCCTACCGTGTAGACCCAGCTTAAGAGTTGGCGAGTGGTAGATTGGCAATAAAATCACATTGGCCGTAGCGTGAGGGGTTCAAGGGTATTTATTTTGGGGTTCCTCGGTCACACACCTAATAAGTTATATTCGACGGAGATCGTTTGGTACAGGCGAAGAAGGGTCTGGAGGTCGTGATAATGATGTATTTCCTGGGGTTTGATAGGGGTTACTAAGGGTTTCCCCGGAGTTTGGTTTCCTACCCGCAATTGTTGTGTAATTAATGATGTTTTCGTGAGGTTAAGGAGGCAAAGGTAATGCAATGAGCGCAATAATAAACATAATTTTGGTTTTAGCTGTGATATTTAATACAATCGTTTTTTTCATATCACTATACATTTCTTCTTTGCGATAAGACCGCCTGAATGGGACAGTTTTGATAGTTTATTTATTTTCTTTGTAGTACATTTTGTGTTGTGTACAATTTATAAAGAGTACCTATACGAGGTATGCTACATACATAATTATGTAAGTACTTCTTGTATCAAAAACATTTTAATTAATTCTTATTAGGTAGGTATGACATTCTAAGACTATTTTTTATGTATTTAATTTTATTTGACCGATTTTATTATCGTTTTACTTGACAATTTTACACAATATTGACATTTTTAATTTATATTATTTGCATGATTGTATCACTTGTTGGCGAGTTGATTTTCTGTAAGCCTTCAAGCAGCTTTCTAAAATAAATAAGAAAATAATTCCACACTGAACCCTATTTAAATGACTTCCGACTCATAACCGACTCTATTTAACCGACTTCAACAAAAGGAGGAGGTTCTCAATTCGGTTGGTATGTTTTTAGTTTTAATAGAGATTGGACTGCCACGGGTTAACTTTCGCCTAACTACATTTGAATACACTTAGGCTGAGTTACACCATCTAACTATAACTTTGACAAACGTCAAAAATCTGTCAAACTCCTTACAAAAAGCACCGGTTAATGTTATTGTTACGGTTAAAATAAGGTGGTGCAACTCAGCCTTACATTTTGTTATTTGCGTAGCGGAAAACTGATACGGTTGTGTTTTCATCTAACGAATGAACTCGAAACAATGTTAACTGTTAACTAATGGAATTCTGGTTAAATTGCTCTTGTTTTTGCAAACAGCACGAGAAAAGCATGAATGTTATACCGAAATCACTCATATTGTACACTCATTTACTGATTTGTTTCATAAAATGATCGCATAATATTTTTTTCATAAGATTATCCTGAAAAATCTTAAGACATAAATGTAGTACTTTTCTTTCAGGAATAAGTGTAAGATAAACTTGCGGCTACGAATA